AGGCCTGTTTTTTTCCCCAGATCCATTCTTTCAAACTACCTTCTGGAAAACGGTCTTCCTCCCCAGGTAATGGTCATCATGAAGTTTATCTTTCCTTTTTTTTTTTAAAGATTTTATTTATTTATTTGACAGACAGAGATCACAAGTAGGCAGAGAGGCAGGCAGAGAGAGGGGGGAGCAGGCTCCCCGCTGAGCAGAGAGCCCGATGCGGGGCTCGATCCCAGGACCCTGAGACCATGACCCGAGCCGAAGGCAGAGGCTTAACCCCCCGAGCCACCCAGGTGCCCCAAGTTTATCCTTCATTTTAAAGAACTAGGAGTCTGGGCGGGCGTGGCAGTTAGTCACTGGAAAAGCTCAATTGGAGTAAAACTCACAAATCTCGTTCTTGCGACACCCCGGTGGGTAGGCGACAATGGCGTGTCCTTGGGTTATGCAATAACGCCACATCACAATATTGTAATTATAGCATGCCCGTCACAACGCTCTACCTGCCGAGGCTCCCTGCCAGAGCCGCACGGCACCGCGGGGTCCATCCCAGCACTAGGTCAGTTCACAGGGCAGCACGCAAGACAAGCATCGCAGCCAGCCCGTCACAGCGGTGTCCTAAAAAGCTAAGCTGTAATTACCTCTGTGGCATCCTATCAACGTTCAAAAAAAATCTTTTTCTCTTGTCTGTTTTTTGGATTTCAAACTCCTTAGAAACTTTTTCAACACTCAGCATTACCTTACACCCGGCAAAGACATTAACTGTCCGCACCGAGGAACCTACCGGGAGCCAGTGCACTGGCAATTTAGAACTTCAGAAACGAGCAGACAAAAGCCCGTGGCCAACCGAAACCACAGGCCGCTGAGGCGCTGTGTGGGCAGTCCCGCCGGCGCCCCGCGGGGGGAGAACCGTGGCAGCCAGGGCCAGCTCGCGGCACTTTCTGAGGCAAAAAAGTACATCAGTGCAACACAAGCAGGTGATTAAAATGCTTGATGTCACAAAAGGGGCATCTTTAAATAAAATAGGAAACCTCCGGAAGCTCACCCAGGGCCCTGTTATGTGCCTTTAAGTCACCACCCACCCCCAGTGTGGACGCTGTGCCCACGGCCCTGTCGTCTGACAGGAGTCTGACAGGGAAGTCGCAGAGGCAGGCAGAGGACAGGACCCCCCCCCCCATTTCAGTGACAGTCACTCGGACCCTGACAGGAGGGAGGGAAGGGGCGTGAGGAGCAGCTCCCAGCACTTCCTGCTTATGGAGAGTGAACCACACTGCGACTGACAGGGGAGCTCTGAGGGAGCTCTGAGGCGCTCGCACTGCGGGTGCCCACGCAGCCACCCCCCAGGGGCCCCGCACGGCCCGCAGCTCTCCACGGACAGATTAACTCAGACAGACACGCGCCTCTCCAGGAAGAGGCTGTGACAAACGCGCAGCACCTTTAGGAAAACCTCACCTCTCAATGCAAATCCAAACTTAACTACCAACAGTTAAAGTTCTCGATTACATTGTTTTGGCAACAATACCCTTTTTTCGGCAAATTTAACACCAGCAGCGCCCATAAGCACCGAGCCCGGCAGACAGAAGGGTAGAGACGTCACAAACCATGTCCCTACGCAGGGCGAGACC